GATTCCAGGTACCCTTTTAGGTGGAAAAATACCTTATTCAAAATGTGATGGCTCAATGTACCGCTTTTTTCACAATGCGAGAAACATTCACTCATTGGTTCAGATTTTTCACTACTTAATTTCTTTAAATATAAAAAAGGGCGATAATATTTGGCGGCATCAATTTGAAAAGTGGTAAAACTCATTTAAGTGCTTTGAGGTAAAATGCCGTTTCGAGATTAATATCCAATTCAGGACAAATGTCTCTTTTGGGCTTATAATATAAGATACCCTTAACAGGATTTATTTAAACAGACTGCATAAGTTTAATGCAAAAATAATATATATATATAATTTCAAATTACAGTTTAACCCACAGAAAAGAGGTTTATCTTTAAAATGCTTTTAAAATTGAAAGCATTGTAAATTTAAACAAAGGACTGCCTACCACGTGTGAAGTATATAGCATTAAAATATTTTTAATGACTTTCGTTTTGGCATTTTGCATCGGACTCCTATAAATGTCGATTCACTTTTCAAACTGTTGCCACAAAATGTTAGACTTCTGCATTATATTTGAAGAAATTAAATAATGAAAAATCTGCATAAATATATGTATATTTCTCGCATTGGGATAAAACAGTATCTAGAGCCATTCAATTTTGAATGACGTAATCCTACTGCGAATATGGGCATCTGAAATCCTAAATTTGAAATTTGGAACTTGTTTTATTAAAAATTTCATATTTTGTAAAAGTTTAATGAATTTTTGATGAAAAAACTCAAGGATTTCAAAGCGAGAAATGGCAACGTTGTACAGCAAAAACATTTCTATCTCCAGCGCGTGAGACTGTGTATCGAAGATTCTAAAGATATGCTCATTTTAAAATTATTTTGCGACATTGCTATCGAACAAAATTTTATGGTTTAAGTGCAAAGAACGTGATATTTAATAAATAAAGGTAATACACAAAACGTTAAAAAACGCCCCTTTGGACGTAATTTAAAATCTGAGACATTTCAGAATTTTTGTGGTATTTTTTATTAATTAAAATAATGCTGAAAGTATTTGAAACTATCAACTGGAAATATTGTATATTAAATGTGTTTAAAGTTGTATCAATTGTACTACTGAAAATAATATACAGATTTAATTTACTAATAAGTGCGTTTCTAGTTTTTAAATCGCTCAGTCTTTTAATGATTAGAAGTCATCTAAATTTGACAAGTAATTGAAATGTATGGTTTGCAGAATAGAGACAAAAGGCGGCATCTGTGAGTTGGAGGTACATGAACTCACGCGTAAAATAAATTAATTACTTTATGCTCCATGCAGCAATAGCATCTGAAAATACACACACAGTAACGTAACGCAACGTACCGTTTCATAAATTTTGGAAAGATTCCGCTTAAGACGTTTAGTATGCAATAACAAAAAGAAAGTATCTTGAGTAAATCTAAAGTCGCCTTTTGTGAGTAAAATATATTATGAGATTTTCGTTTCCTGACCAAAAGATTCACAATGTCACGAAATTTCGTGCGTTTTGCTGCTATTTGACAGAACGAATAAAACAAGGACTTATAAAAAAACCTTATTCACGCCATTTAGAATCTAAATCAGTGGCGCGAGACATTTTGACGTTAGAAACGTCTGTAGCTTAACTATCCCTCTTCCCAAGTCCCGTTGCGTTACATTATTATATTGGCATGAGGCTTCGAATTTTTTTTTCAAATAAAAAATGCAAAGTTTTTAAATAAGGGTTTTAAAAATAATGTACGTATAGTATTAGTCCAAAGGGACTTGAGTCCCGAAGGACTATTGCTTTCGTTTTGGCATTTTGCGTCGGACGGATAAATGTCGGTTCACTTTTCAAACTGTTGCCATAAAATGTTAGAGTCCTGCATTATATTTGAAGAAATTAAATAATGAAAATCTGCGTAAATGTATGTATATTTCTCATTGCATAAAATAACGGTACATAGAGTCATCGAATTTTGAATAACGTAATCCTCCAACGAATATGAGCATGTGGAAGACCAAATTTGAAATTTGTTTTGTGATCGATTTCCTATTTTTTAAAACTTTGACGAATTTTTGATTAACAAACTCAAGGATTTCAAAGCGAGCAATGGCAACGTTGTGCAGAAAAAACATTTTTATCTCCAGCGCGTGAGTCTCTGTATCGGAAATTCTAAAGATATGCTCGTTTTAAAACTATTTTGCGATATTGCTGTTCCACTGGATCTTATGGTTTAAGTGCGAAGAACATGATATTTAATAAAGAAAGGTAACACACAAAATGTTAAATAACGCCCCTTTGGACGTAATTTAAAATCTGAAACATTTCAGATTTTTTTTTTTTTATAATAACACGGAAAGCTGATTAAGTATTATTTTGTTTTTAGCCAAAAAGGGACGTTAGACCTGAGTGGGATATTAGTTTCGGAACGGCATTTTGGGTTAAATAACTAAAACGTTAATTGAAACACTATAAACGGCATTTCACTTCTCAAATTGTTGCCACCCAATATTATCGCCCTGTGTTATATTTAAATTAATATAATATGGGGTGATATTATTTGGTGGCAACAATTTGAGAAGTGAAATGCCGTTTATATTGTTTCAATTAACGTTTTAGTTATTTAACCCAAAATGCCGTTCCGAAACTAATATCCCACTCAGGTCTAACGTCCCTTTTTGGCTAAAAATAAAAATCCAAAAAAAAAAAAAATCTGAAATGTTTCAGATTTTAAATTACGTCCAAAGGGGCATTTTTTAACATTTTGTGTGTTACCTTTCTTTATTAAATATCATGTTCCTCGCACTTAAACCATAAGATCCAGTGCAACAGCAATATCGCAAAATAGTTTTAAAACGAGCATATATTTAGAATTCCGATACAGAGACTCACGCGCTGGAGATATAAATGTTTTTTCTGCACAACGTTGCCATTGCTCGCTTTTAAATAGTTGAGTTTGTTACTCTAAAATTCGTTAAAGTTTTACAAAATATGATGAATCGATAATAAAACAAATTCCAAATTTCAAATTTGGGATTCCAGATGCCCATATTCGTAGTAGGATTACGTCATTCAAAATTCGATTGTTCTATGTACCGTTGTTTTATCACAATACGAGAAATATACATACATTTATGCAGATTTTTCATTATTTAATTTCTTCAAATATAATGCAGGACTCTAACATTTTGTGGCAACAGTTTGAAAAGTGAACCGACATTTATGAGTCCGACGCAAAATGCCAAAACGAAAGCAATAGTCCTTCGGGACTCAAGTCCCTTTGGACTAATAATACTTAATCAGCTTTCCGTGTTATTATGAAATAATATACGTACATTATTTTTAATACCCTTATTTAAAAACTTTACATTTTTTCTAAGAACCGAATGAAAAATATCGAAAAATGTATGCTAACATTTAATTCTGGAGCAGGAATTGTAAGCGTATACTACTATGCTGCTTTTAAAATTTCTGTAATTTTTCTGTTCATTTGCATATGGCGTAAGTGGAAGAAATGACTCCTAATAGAGCTAAAAAGACAAAAAAAAAAGGCTATTTTAATAGCAGACTGGTAAACTGTGAGGTGAGCGAAAGCGTAAAATGCGTTAACAAACCATTTTGGATGACAGTTACAATCTGAAACCTTTCAGAAGTTTTTTTTTAATTACGTCTCTAACTTATGTAATTTATAATACATATAACAGATAAGGTTTAAAATATAATTAATCAATAACTTTTATGTATATTACCATCCTTATTTTAAATGATAAAAGTGCTTTTGCCACTACATTATTTTGCGGTGCTCGTTTTTAAATGCGATCCAATAAGAAGTATTTTAATTTGAACACTTCATGCCATTATTTAAACAAATACCAGTTATCTTCAAATATCCATTTGCAAAGGGAATTTGTTAGACATTCGCCTTATTTAGTTATGAAAAATTACATGAGGGTTTCCTGTCTAAGAGGAGAGATGCCTTCGTGGAGAACTGTCTAAGGGAAACTGGCTCGATTCACGTTACACATGGGGAAAACCACGAAAACGCCCCTGTTAGGGACTAAATAACTCATAATTTTCTAAATTCCGTGCACTCTTAAAATTTTGGGGATATTTCAAGAATCTATTAAGTTTTCTAAAACTCAAAAGTTTTAATTCCATTACATTAAAAAAAAATTCGATTCACATTTAAAAAAATTCACATTTATAACTTTATGATAAAGGGAAGATTTTCAAGATTACTTAGTGCACATGGAAAATTTCAAATAGAATGTTAAATGCAATGTGCATTTTTAATATTTTGTTAAAAGCATTCAAAGCTTTCCGAACTACAGATCTCTCCGTAATCAGTTCTAGAAGACATTAAATATTAATTACCTTAATAATAGCATTGCCTCAGCATTACCAAGAACAATATTATACGGCAATATTTTTAAAATTTTTAATGTTTTTAATATCTTTTATGCCTTTAGGTTTGAAGTATTAATAAAGAGTTCAATATTTAAAAAAATTGGAAATAGTATGAGCTATTCCATTTAATTTACGCATGCGTTTAATTGCCATACGTGGAAATATTTTATTCCAAATGGATAAAAAAAGGATTAGAATATTTACTGGTGTTTATAATGTTACTATTACTATTTCTACTATTACTATTATTATTTTTCATAATTCATATTTTTTAAATTATTGTTTCTCTAAAAACCATCTAGTTAATTATAAAATACTTGACGCAAATTAATCGTTCTTTCAGATATTAAATATTTTAAAGGGATGGAATATTTTGATACCCTTTAAACAAATTTAAATTTTAATTATCAGTTTGCAAAGTAACTTCAGATTTATGAGTGTGATTTTTTCTAACTATTGATAACCATACATATTCTAATAATTAAAATAGTTTTAAAAAAGCGAGATACTAAAATATTAAAAAAAGAATTTTTTTTTTAAAGTATTGAAAGTAGCAATTAAATTGTATAAAAATTAATACAAAATGACACTTACATTGATAAACCCATAGCTTGGATGCTTTAAGAGCCGATGCCAGTTGCAATAGCGAACTGAGACACTTAGCAGATATGTCCTTTTGATATATTTCTTTTATCAGAAAAGGCAAAACTTTCTTCACAATTTTTCCGACAGCCGTTTTTAAATCTTTATCCATCTTTAACCAGAGTTGACGAGCATGAAGTTCTGGGATTGCTGTTGCAGGTTCTGTATCATCATCTGATTGACTATACGAAGAAGGAGCATTTTCTCGAAGTTTTTGACAATTCAGTACACAAAAGCAAGCCAAGACGACCAGCAAACTGAAGTGGTAACGAGTGTTTAAACAGGCCATAATGTTATAAAGCCAGGTTCGACAGTAAAAATATATTGCAGCAGAGTTAAATTAGAAAACAGCTTAGATCAGCTCAAGCCAGAGGAAACGTTAACCTGATATTATCCGCAAGGTTTCTTGCTGTTTGAACTCGCTTTGTCCCATGGAATCTCATAAGAAATGTTTTATGAGTGAAGAATTTATTTTATTCTTTTAAAATATTGGCAACGATAAAAATCCGCAGCTCCTTCTGGCCCCTGCTGTTTCTTCTAAATTTACCGAGGTGCTATAGTCCAGTAAGTTTTCTCAGCTATCACAAATACAGATTAAAAGGTAATGTTTTAAAAAGTTCAGTTTTCGAAAACCTCAAAGAACCATCTGGTTTTCTTGGAATGGAGAAAAATCCACTTTTGAGAACGCTAATTGAGAGGAGTTTTTCTTCGGGCAGATGATCTAGCGAATGTCAGGTCAATGGAGAACGAACTTGAAAAGTGAAACTGGGATCAAGTGCGAACAATGTTCCAGGCAAAGGGGTTAATACCTGTCCACAGCAGTGGAAGCTCGGACCAGTTAGAGCTGTCCCTCTTTCGCTTTGCTTATTTTCTTATCCCGCTGCTCTTATAGCTTCTGGCGATGCTCGCGCTCAAGGACGTTATACACACACAGTTACCGGCGAAAGAAGAAAGAAGGATAAATATTTTAACCTTGCGTCTGCCAGGATTAAGCATTTTTTCACCCTTTCCTTCTTTCATATATCTCACGAAGTTCTTGGCGATGAAGGTAAAAGTGAAAAGTGAAACTGATGTATCATACAAATCGAAAAGTGGGACAACATGAGACAATGAATGAATGCTTCGCACGAATGATGTCAAAGTAGTAGGAAAGCTAGTCGTAGGAAAGTGGACGATATGCGCTATTAATTGCAAAATATACATAAAGATTTTACTTTCAATGCCGGTCCATTTCGAATTTCTTCATTTTCAGTATTTTCAAGCAAAATGAAGCATTGTTAAAGGTATGAAAAAAAAAATTATTTTACCACATTTTTTTTCCATTTTCCTTTTTACATCCGTGCCCCCTTTTTACCACTATCGGGTTCCGTTTAACATTCTAATTTCTTCTCGTATATAAAACAGCACAATAATTATAAAATTCATTAAATTTCGAGTTTTTTAAAATAAAAACAATAATGTTTTGGTATCTTTTAATATTGCTTGTGTTTTTTACAATATGGCATATTTAGATGCCCATGCATTGATATTTTCATCTGCTATAAAGAACTTGAAGTAGACGATTGAAAGAAATTTCGACAATCTCAAATAAAACACAGTTAAATCTCAAATTAACAGTTTGGAAAAAAAAAAAAAGAGAAAAAAAAGCAATTTTTCAAACCTTCTTTTTATTAAATTAATTTAAATGTTGCTTTTAATTTGAAGTGCATAGTTTAGTTATACGTGTAATCTATTAAAAAATTACGTGCGTTTTTTAAACACCATTTTTTAAATTTTAAACACCATTTTAAAAACACCATTTTTTTTAAATCACATGATTTCATATTTAAAATTTTAACCCCAATTTTGATTAATTAAATAATTTATTTGTAAAGTTTAGATTTAAGATGGTTAAGGAAGACAATATTTTAAAAGCAATTTTTTCTCCTTCCCATGGAATGTAATAAAATAAGCTTTTTTTTTTTTCAAGTAGTTATTTCTGATAAAGCACATTTTGTTCACATTGTACTTCTCACACCTTTTCAAGTATGACTATAATATGTTTTGTTTTAATTGTTAAAGGTACAAAATATAAAAAATGACTACTATCATTTTCATTTCATTTGTGTTAGTTAGTTTATGTTCTACTGTTACAGATTCCTATTAAAATACAAAAGGAATTCGATTATGCATTGCCATTAAATGAAATATTGAACTGTTATTTTAATTCATTTACTTAAATTGTTTTACCTCACATAAGCATTTCATAAGACCTTTCCGTGTTATGCTTTAATTCTAATTTTGTTCAACAAGTTATAATTCAGCAAAAAGTGAGGCATTTCTATACTTTAAAGTCTGAAATGAAAATTCCCAAATTCTCTGACAGTATTTTTACAGCATATTTAAATTTTAGTTCGATAATGTAAAGCAGCAAACTGTAAAAAAGGAAATTTATCCCTGTAACTTATTTGTCACTAAATATACTTTTTCTTTTTACAAATTAAGCCCTTTGAGTGTTTAAAATAAGATAGAATTTCAGCCTTATAGTTGGCTTTATACAGAAAATGTAAGCATTACGGAGTGTTTGTATCAATTTCCCTCAAATGCACAGGATTTTCTATAAAATTTTTATCAAGGTATAAGATATATTTAGATTTGCCTTAAATTAAATTTAAATTGGTATGCTTCTCTTCTACATATCTAAGACACTTATTGTAACTTGTACATTAAATAACATAACTAGGACTTAAATTAAGCAAGACAGGAATGCTGGAGACCGGTAATTCTTAGTTTTTGAACGTATTGCATACCATGCCTTATTATCATCGGTTTAATCATCTTCCGTTTTAGTTATTGCATTTCATTTTTAGAATGTATTAATTTAAATTTATTGTAACTTTAATTATTATTAGTTTTAATAATCTACAAATATTTTTATTCAAACTTTATTTAATTTTAATTATTTATTGCTTGATTTGATTATTTAAAATGATGACGTTAATTTTAAAGCTCTTTGCTCATTTCAATAAGTATCATATTTAGATTGGCATACAAATATAATCGCAGAATAGCATATTTTCTGGTCTATTGAAATATACATTGAATCTGGTAACGAAACTGAAACGGAGATAGTTATACTTTTTCAAAGTAAAAACTTCCGTATATTTATTCATTTATTCATTAGTCACTGAAAGTGCAATACGATCAGTAAGGCATTTTGATCTAGACAATGATTTTTCACTTTCAGTTATAGATCAGAATCTGAAATAAAAATATTAGCAGGTGTTAGAGATGAGGAACTGCTAGTAGGTAGAGAATAGTTCACAGAAACAAATATAAAATTTTCGGTCAACTTGTTCGATCAACAAAGCGCAGAAGTTAAAATAAGTGACCTTCAAACACTACTAGACTGACAAGCGAATTATCGCTCCGTATGAGTTAATATGACAAAATCCTGACAAGGTGAAAATAAACTTATAATTAAATTTTTAAATTAAAGAGAAAGCACCACTTCTGCAGGCAAATAACTTCCGCCGCTTGAGGGTATTTAAAATAACAGAAGCTGAAATTCCAACTCGAGGTAACGCAGTCGAAGACTATACAAAATGATTTGCATAATCTGTTTGAAATAAACTGAAGGGAAATAAAATTCCACAACCGAAAAGAAATCAGGTGAGAAGAATGAAATGTAAGCAAATAGTTTGTATAATTATCTTTGTATTTGATTAATATTTCAAGCTCATAGGTTTAAGTATGCTCTACAAGAGCTGTTTCAGATGAGAAATTGGTGGACATTAATTACCGCTGTAGTCACCATGGTGTTGAATGCAAGCATTTTAAGTGCATGCATTGTGTCGTGAAGATGCTGTATTCATTTTATGGGAAGAAGTTCCATGCCGTTTGCTCAGTTAATCAAATCAGCAACGGTCCGTGCTGGCTGAGAAGGTGCTGGATTTGTCGTCCTATCATGTCTCATACTTTCTCAAAAAGAGCGGTGTATCTCGCAGGCATGTCGACACTCTGTAGAGCACGTTGGATGATAGCAGAGGAATGGGGATGAGCGTTATCCCATTGGAAAATCCCCCCCTGGAATATTGCTCAAGGTAGACAGTGCTGATGCAAACAGCAGTCTGATGAACAAATTTGCATTCAAAATCTGTGGGAAAACAACGAGAGTGCTCCTGCTGTCCAAGGAAATTACTCCTCGGATCGTAGCTCTTAGTGTAGGTCCAATGTGTTCAACAAGCTTGGTTTCAAACGCTAAGCTGGCCTCCTTCTAACCAACATAAGCTCATCACTGTCCACTAAGAAAGAAACTGCCGTCATCTGAGGACACAATATATCTTCGTTCCGCTGTGTTAATGAGCTCTAACTTGATGCTAATGAAGTCGCAGTTGGGAGTGATTTGGAGTTAGTGATAATGGTCCCAGCAGGGCATCTGCGTTGGAGCTATTCTTTAAGTAATCGATTCGATACAGTTCGTTGTATAACTATGGTGTTAATAAGCTTTCTAATATGTGCTGCAAATACAGTAAAACGCACCACAGACATGTGTAGAATATGGTGGTCTCACTTTTGAATGATGTGTACCCGGATACCGGCTTTGAAACCAGTATCTTCCCGTGACTACTGCTGTCAACAAGCATGCGCAGTGGATACATCCCTGCCAAATCCCGCCTAAAGAAAATCCTCTTTCTTGTAGCCCTATTACATTGCCTCTTTCAAACTCTGTGAGCTACTGTTACCTCCTTCTTCATCTCCTTAAAGGCATTATTGGGTCAGATCTACACCACCCAGTCCACAACCGGACTGGGTGTTGGGTCTCACAACACCCAGTCCGGAAGATAAATAAAGTTTACATCATGTTTTAAAGCAAACATGATTTGAATATTCATTAGTGGCGATATTAATGTCACATTTATTCATCTAGCGTGAAATATGAATAGAAGTCATCTTTCAGATGTACAAACATGCCTTCCAAATTTCATATATCTACCACAACTCCTTGTTGGTGTTGAAAGTTTATTTTCCATTAGTGTATTTTAAAGGCGCGTTTTAGCGTGGGCTAGCAAATGGCAGAGCTGGGCATTCAAACGTAAAATTGAGATGACATTGCCAAAAGCTCTAACTTCAAAGTCCTCTACTTAAATACCCTATCATATAATTTGTATTCTAGTGAGGACTACGAAAATTAAAGGTTTTAAATCACAAATCATAATAATTGGTTAATTAACATAAAACATCTTATAAATTGCCTAGCTATTCAAATAAATTATCTCTAGAATATTTATCAATAGGGTCCGTATAATGTTTGATCAAAAACATATGTATTTTTGCGCATAGAGAATAATATAATATGTCACAGTCTTTGCAACAGATAGAGTACCAAGCTGTGTTCAACTATTAGTATTCAAGAATGTTCTACGTTCTGTCACAACAAAGCACACATAATTACTACTTTAACATTGGATCCATGCAAGCAAGCTAAAAACAGGTTTGATCAATTTTGTCAATATTGGGTATTTCTCTTTCTCTCTGATTCACCAGAGATGATATTAGTCTTGAAGCTTAGATTTTATACGTATCACTTTTGTGTCCAAAACACTTTTCAAATTCTTGCCATCAAATGTTGTCGCGATGTATTATTATTAAAAAAACGTTTTTTAGCATTCGTTTTTTAGAAAATATAAAATAGTTTCTAAAATATTTTATATTATCGTCATCAAATGTTGTCGCGATGTATTATAAAAAATTAAATAATGAGGAATCAATATGCATATATTTATATTTCTGCATTGTAGAAAAACAATGGCATCTAAACCACCGAATTCTTAATACACCTACTCATTCATTCGAACATCAGCACCTTGAAGCCCAAATTTTAAATTTCGAACTTGTTTTTGATTTATTTTATACTTTGTATAACGAAATTCTGTTTATCA